GATCCTTTAGTACAGTTCCTCATGCGATGACCCCCAGGCATAAAATTATTTTTGTTGTTACTTCCCAACTGTAATTTTATAGAGAAGCAGTGTCCCAGTTCCTAATACCGTTGGGAATATGTGTTTCCAATGGATGGTTGCAATCCACAGGTTGAAAGCTGATGATTTAGAGTTTAAGAGCATTTGTTCTTTTAGAGGACCCAGATCAGTTCCCAGGACCCACATGCTGGCTCACAACCATCTATAAATCCAGCTCCAGGGGGCTGGAGAGATGGCTCAGCGGTTAAGAGCACTGACTGCTCTTCCAGAGGTCCTGAGTTCAATTCCCAGCAACGACATGGTGGTTCACAACCATCCGTAATGAGATCTGAAGCCCTCTCCTGGCGTGCAGACATATGTAGAAGCAGGATGTTGTATTCATAATAAATAAATAAAATCTTAAAAAAAAATAAATCCAGCTCCAGGAGATCCAACACTCCCTTCTGACCTATACAGGCACCAGGCATACATATGGTCCATATACACATGTGTAGTCAAAACACTCATAAACATCTAATTATTATTGTTTTTATTATTATTTTTTGAGACAGGGTCTCTATGTAGTCCTGACTGTCCTCTAACTCTCTCTGTAGGCCAGACCAGTCTCAGACTCACAGAGATCCACCTGCCTCTGCCTCCTGAGTGCTAGTGTTAAAGGTATGCACCACCATGCCTGGCAAATTATTATTATTAGTGGATTTTTGAGAAAGGATTTCTTTCTGTAATAGCCCTGGCTGTCCTGATACGCACTTTTTAGATCAGGCTGGCCTTGAACTCACAGGTATCCACATGCCTCTGCCTCTGAGTGCTGTGATTAAAGGCTTGAGTCTTCATGCCTGGCTATTACTTATTTTTTTGAAACAGGGCTTTTTTGTGTAGCCCTGGCTATCCTGGGACTCGCTCTGTAGACCAGACTGGCCTCAAACTCACAGAGTCCACCTGCTTCTGCCTCCTGGGGCAAATTCTTTTTTAAAAACTGAAAATGTTGAGAAGGTAAGACAGGGTGAGAGGTATAAATTTTTCTGTATTGAATACTCTGTAATTGGTATATATTTATGTGTTATTTGTAATGAAAAGTATATTTTTTCCAGAGGTGATGGCTTATGCCTGTAATCCTAGCTCCTGGGAGACTGAGCCAGGAGGATTACCATGAGTTTGAGGTCAGTTTGGATTACATGGTGAATTCCAGGCTAGCCTTGGCTATAGACTAAGACCTTCTCTCAGCAAACAAAACAAAGCAAAACAAAGTTACATGTGTGTATGATTGTTTTTATTTTATTTATTTATTTATTGGTTTTTCAAGACAGGGTTTCTCTGTATTGTTTTGGAGGCTGTCCTGGAACTTGCTCTGTAGACCAGGCTGTCCTGGAACTCACAGAGATCCGCCTGCCTCTGCCTCCCGAGTGCTGGGATTAAAGGCGTGCACCACCAATGCCTGTCGCTTTTATTTTTTATATTTTATTTTTTTTATATTTAATTTATTTATTGTGTATACAGCCTTCTGCCTGCAGGCCAGCAGAGGGTACCAGATCTCATTCAAGGTGGTTGTGAGCCACCATGTGGTTGATGGGAATTGAACTCAGGACCTCTGGAAGAACAGTCAGTGCTCTTAACCACTGAGCCATCTCTCCAGCCCATTTTTAATTTTTTTTTACATTTTTTTATTTACTTATTTTGTGTGCATATGTGTATGTGTATGTACACGGCGTCACTTCTCTCCTTCCACCATATGGGACCCAGGGATTGAACCCATGTCCTTAAGGCTTGGCAGCAAGTGTCCTTACCTGCTGCAGGCCAAGCCATCTCTCAAGACATCCACTAAGTCTATCCTTAACAGCACAAGTGGGATTGGAAGGGGAAAGCAATAACCCTTTGGGAGAAAAACAAAGGACTTGGTCCCCAGTGAAGTTTCTCCTCCCAGTAGCTCGGGATCATAAGATGATCTCCTAGAACTTCTTGGAAGAGGAAGACAAGGTCTATAGTTTCCTGTCAACCTCAAAGCATCTTCCCCTCCCCAAGAGACCTTTAGTTACCAGGATGCAATCAAGGGGTCACTGAAACATCCAAACATCCAGCTGGTGTGGGAAAATGGGAAGAGCAGAATCAACAGACAGGAACATTCCCAGATTCTGTAAGGGAGTGTTTGGACTCCCAAGTTCAGGAACAACTATTATTTGGGGGCATTTTTAAGACAAGGTTTCACAGGGAACCCTGACTGGCCTGGAACTCTCTTTGTAGACCAGGCTGGCCTTGAACTCACAGAGATCTATCTACCTGGTCTCTGCCTCCCAAATGCTGGAAATAATATGTGTGTCATCAATGCCCAGTCAGGAATTATTTTAACAGGCTGTCCTTTTTGAGCATGTAAATTTGTATGGAGATTCCTCAAAAACAAAACAAAAATATAACTACCATATACTGCAGCTATATCACCCCAGGGAACATCCCAGAAGATTCTGTCATAGTGATATTTATACATACCTGTTGATTGCTGCACTGTTCACAATAGCCAAGAAGTGGAAACAGCCTAGAAAATGTGATATAAGTGTTGGCTCAGCTGGAAAAGCACTTGCCATGCAATTCTGACGACCTGAGTTCAATCCACTGAACCCATGTAAAGGTATAAGGAGAGAATCAACTCCCAAAAATTGTCTTCTGGCCTCTACACGTAAGCTGTGACAGGCATATACCTATAACTCTCAACCAATAATATAACAAATAAAAGAAGGAAGAAAGAAAATGTCATGACATGGTGGCTCCTAAGTGACACCACATCTCTAAAACAAACAATAAAACAGAAGAAAGGGACAGTGGCTCCTGTACAATGGAGATTTATTTGGCCATAAATAAAAATTAACTCTAAAACATTTATGTCATTTGCTTGATGTGGAAGGAATTGGAGATAATCATGCTAAGCAAAATAAACCAGGCTCAAAAAGACAAATATTGCACTTTTTCTCTCATATGTATTATCTAGATTTAAACACACACATGCACAGAGAGAAACAGAGAGAAAACAGATAACAGAGCAGGAGGAAGTGAAATTAGAAGGGAAACTGTCTTAGTTCTATTGCTGTGGCCAAAGCAACTTATAAAAGGAGGCATTTCAGCCGGGCGGTGGTGGCGCACGCCTTTAATCCCAGCACTCGGGAGGCAGAGGCAGGCGGATCTCTGTGAGTTCGAGGGGAGCTGGACCGACAGCCTCCAAAACAACACAGAGAAACCTTGTCTCGTAAAAACCAAAAAAAAAAAAAAAAAAGTTAAAGAGGAAAAAGGCAGTTCTGGAAAGAATGGAAGATATAAAACTTGGTCCCTAGTCTGAAGTGGCTTTGAGGCTACCTGGCTCTCCTCTGCACCTTTGCAAGAATGATCCTTACCAACAGAGCTTTCAGGTGCCCAAAGGGCCACCCCTCTCTCAAAACTGCCTTAATTCCAGAGATGAGTCCAGCTAGCAGTGACCATGGTGCAGCACCTGGAGGTCCTAAGACAACAATCTTTAAAGAAAGGGATCATAAAAGGTGACTTTGGTGAGCCGAGTGGTGGTGGCGCACGCATTTAATCCCAGCACTCGGGAGGCAGATGCAGGTGAATTTCTGTGCGTTTGAAGCCAACCTGGTCTACAAAGCTACACAGAGAAACCCTGTCTCAGAGAGAGAGAGAGAGAGAGAGAGAGAGAGAGAGAGAGAGAGAGAGAGAGAGAGAGAGAGAGAGAGAGAGAGAGAGAGAATGAGAACTTTGGTGGACAGGAGTCAGTAAACTGTGGCAACAGCAACAGCTGAGTTCAAGAGTCAATATCTGGGAGTAATCAGGAAAGTTTTGTGCTGACAACTGTGTGCCTGGAGTTGAACACCATAGCCAAACCAGCTCCTGGGCAGCTTCAGGCTAATGAATCCCTGGCCTGGCCCAATATACAGCAACAGTTGAGCTATGATAGCAGGCAGGGCCAGTGGGGGCCGAAGCTGAGCTTTGCAGCTTCCCAATAATGTGACCTTAGTCAAGTCACTCAGAAAGGGAAAAAAGAAAACCAGTTTCTGTGGAGGAAATGTGATTTCTTTCCACAGATGAAGTTAAGTCCTCACGGAAGATTAGGAGGAGAGTAAGGACCTAATATTGCATGAGAACCCCTGATGACAAATGTGGACTTCAAGGTGTACATCCGAGGAGGGGGAAGCAGAATTAGGATCAGAACTTCTCAGTCTCTCTTTGAGCTTTAGCTGCCTTCTCCCCTGTAAAACTGGTGCTGATGATAATATGCATACCTTGGGGCTGAGTTCCACCTGCAGCCTCAGCAACAACTCACCTCAAACAGTAAGAGGCACGGTGGAAGTTCTAGTCCCTCCCTTCTTTGTAGCATCCTGGGTGGCCATTTTCCTGGAAATGTAGTTATGTTACTTTTTGCACTGCCTATCAGGTTTGTGGATGAAGGACCCAGAATTTGCCTTGAAGGGAGGTTATTTAGACTTTACTGCCTCTCCACCCTGCTTCCCTGGCCTCCATTTCTCACTACAGCCCCACTTCTCTTCCCCAGGACTTGGCAGACGAGGTGACATCAGTGGGTGTTTCCTGGGAAAAGAAACTCGTAGCGGGGCTGGCGCAGCTCCTGGCGCCGCTTTCCCCAAACCCCCTGCCTCAGACACCAAAGCGTCGGGAGACCTTTGGAGCTCTCAGCCGCTTCCCTCCTCCCCAGATCTGGTCCAGCAGCTGGTCCCCACCCCTCGCCGTGATTAGGAGGGGGCCACTGGAATTCCTCAGCTGATGCAGGGAGACCGGAGTTAGTATGGGGCGGGACGCGGATCCCGGTTCTGGGGTTACAGGGGGAGCTGTCCAGCCCCGCAGACCCAGCTGGAAGAGAGAGAGTGGGCCAAGGCGCGCCAGGCGGAGCGAGGCGCGGGCGGGTGCGGCAGTGACTCTCCCTGCAGCCCGCCCCCCACGTGGCTGCCGCTTTCCCAGCCCCTCCGAGGAAGCGGCGCAGCTTCCTGCGGCTCGGGCCGGGAATATAGGCGCCCCCGCCCGGGCCAGCTCAACTCTGCCGCCCCTCCTCGCCTTCTCGCCCAAGGCGTGATGGCCCGGTTCCTGGTGGAGCGCGCCCCGAGTGGATCGAGGCTCGCTATGACCCGCGCCGGCCGGCCGGCAGTGCTCCGCCTCCCTCCGCTGCTGCTGCTGCTGCTGCTGGGCGGTGAGCGCAGCGTCGGGGGCCCCGGTGGGAGACGAGGGAGGTCCGGGAGGGGAACCGGCCCGGGCTACCGAGGCCAGCACGGGACCACCATGCGAGTACCAACCGACGTGCCGAGAGCTCTGATCTGCAGATGGGCCCTGAGCACATCTCCCGGTGGTACAGCACGGCGCTTTCCACTTAAGAAAAGCTGGAGTGCCTGCCAGAACCTGGAGGAGAGGTCTTGGGAGGTCCAGGACTGACAAGAAGGGAGGGGGTTTTGGGCCCGGGTGTAAGTGGGGCGCAGCTTGTACCAGCCGCTCCCTTCCCGCACTAGGACAATCCAGTAGGGAGGGGGAGATGATTTTTCTTTATGTTCCAAAGTAGTGCTGACTTTTCCAGGGTATTGGTCTCTACCCCTAAACAGGCACTACTTTTCAGACCTCTCCCCATATCATCTCGCCCTTCTCTCTCACGTCTTTATACAGCTGTCTCAACCTTTCCGGAGTCCCTGAATCAATCTCTTCCCACTGAGGACAGCTTGCTGTCAAGAGGTGGGTGTCCGAGTCTGTGGGGAGAACGACTTAGTGGAAGGATAAAGCTAGGACAGGGGAGGGCAACCTTTCACAAGGCAAGCCTGGGGCCTGCTGAGCCCCCACTAACCTCCCTGGTATCTCTTAGGGTTCCTGTGATCCTTCCCCCTGCTATCCCACAAGCTTTAAGGTGTCCTGCCCCAATTGAGTAAAAAGACCCAGACAAGGTGTGTGTGTGTGAACGTGCTTGTGAGGCCGGGAGGAAATACTGTGCACATGGAAGCCATTACAGGGTTCTAGAGCCCGGACCTCCCCTCAGTCACAAGTGTCCTGCTGGGAAATTTTTGGAGGGATTCCCTTGTCTAATGACAAAGGGCTCTCTCTACTTTGGAAATACCTGGGTCAGAAGACTTGGAGGGAAGACCAGGGGTGTGGTCATTGTGAAGCATCTGTCCCTACAGAGACTGTGGAGGAGAGCTATGAGATTAATGCCCTATTTTGCTGGTTTTACTACAAGAATCAAATGAACTCTGTCAAGGACTGGTGCAACTGGACTTTGATTAGCAGGTAGGGGCAGTGTTGAAGGGTTGCTCAGGCCAGGAGCTGGGCCACTTCCTTGTGGGCGGACCTTGAGTGAATGTGGGACACCCCTCTCCCTGTGCCCAACCCTTCCCTCACTCAAAATCCCCTACTGCCCCCCAGGCATTACAGCGACCTGCAGTATTGCCTGGAGTACAATGCTGACAGTTTTGGCCTGGGTTTCCCAAATCCTTTTGCGGAAAGGATCATCCTTGAGACTCACCTGATACACTTTACCAACTGCTCCCTGGTGCAGCCCACCTTCTCCGATCCCCCGGAGGACGTGTTGTTAGCCATGATCATCGCACCCATCTGCCTCATTCCTTTCCTGGTGACTCTGGTGGTATGGAGGAGTAAAGACAACGATGCCCAGGCCTAGGGGGTCTGTTCCTCAGCAGCCATTCTTCTGCTGGAGCCGGGAATCTCTGCCTCCCCTTCTTACCCCTTTTCTCATACTCATCTTTCCCACAGACCTTTGGATTGGTGGAAATGGAAGCCACGTGAAGTAGTCTTTAAAATAAAAAAAACCAGTGTTTTTGTACAATATTCCCTTCTCAGTGGGGTCTGTGTCAATGGTAGTTCTATGGGGCCTCATTACTGGGGACAGCTGAAGAATGTAGATGGCCCCTGCTGTTCTGGTCATTTCACCTGCCCTCTGCCTCCACAAGGTCATGTTCCTATATTCTTTCCTCCCAGGGAGGAGCCTTTCCTGCCCCTATCCAAACCCAGCTCCAGGAAACAAGCAGGAAGAGACTCCCTTCCGGTTTGGACAGCAGCTGGGGCCTTTAGCTGGGGAGGTGTGGGGAGGAGGGGCAAGAAATCTCTACCTCGACTCCTGGAAGGAAGAAAGGCTACCCAGGAGCCCAGTTTTGCCCTTTTATGTGCCTCAGTTTACTCTAGAGACAGAAAGAAGGAATGTTGATTAGCAACAGGAATTTATCCTTCAGGACCTCAGGATTGAGGCCCAAGGCAGTGGGGGCTTCCTCTATAAGACTCTAAGGTCCCCGTTCCTGGCCTTCATCCCACATCTTCTTAGATTCAGCATTGTCACACACTGCCCCCTGGTGTCCATTAAAGACCAACAACCAGACAGTGTATGAGATCTAGAGGAAGCTCCCGTCTCAGGAACACTGGACCCTGGGGTTCAGAAACATGTTATCTCCTTAACAGCCAAATTCTTAGCTGGGTCCTTCTCTAAGCTTCTTGAGAAATGTGGATGATACTCCACATTTGACACATCTGCTTCTCTGCAACTCACCTTTTCTGTGTTTCCCAGACAGTGAGGACCAGTTCTCACCAGGGGAACTCTCATCTCAGATCCTTCCTGAGCTACACCTGCCAGGTTCTCCCAAACACATGCAAAGCAACTTTATTTTCCATGGAAACATCTGATTATCCTTTGCAGCACCCTCAGTCTCTTTAGAGGCTTCTATTTTCCCTGTTGAAATATCTGCATTACTAAGTAGTACACGCCTATTTCCGGGCACATGCTTATCTGTTTTATAGGTACTTGCCTGTGTTTCTTGGAACATACCTGTATGTTGTTAAAGATATACTTCTCTTAGGCCACATCTGTCACCTAAGGATTTTTGTTTTGTTTTTCGAGACAGGGTTTCTCTGTGTAGCCCTGGCTGTCCTGGAACTTGTTCTGTAGACCAGGCTGGCCTTGAACTCAGAGATACACCTGAGTCTGCCTCCCAAGTGCTGGGATTAAAGGCATGTGCCACCACTGCCCAGCTGTTTTTTTCAAGAAAGGGATTCTTTAAGGCTGTCCTGGAACTGGCTTTGTAGACCAGGCTGGCCTCAAACTCACAGAGATCCACCTGTGTCTGCCTCCTGAGTGCTGGGATTGCACCACCACATCCAGACAAGAGCTAATAGTCCATTATTCTATGAATTCATTAATGAATTACCTCTTGATGAAGTTAGACTCCTTTTGATCTAAGCATCTCTCAATAACAAACACAGCTGGGGCACAAGCCTTCAACACACGAACCTTCAGGGAAACATTTCTTATCCCAACCATAACACAAACTCACAAACAAGGTGACTGCTGAGTTGGTACATGATAAGGCCTTAGGTAGAATGTATTCCTTAGCCGGGCATTGATGTACGCCATTAATCCCAGCACTCAGGAGGCAGAGGCAGGCGGATCTCTGTGAGTTCCAGGCCAGCCTGGTCTACAGAGCAAGTTCCAGGACAGCCTACAAAACAATACAGAGAAACCCTGTCTCGGGGGGGAAAAAAAGGAAAAAGAATGTATTCCTTAGAGCAGAGAGTGAAAATGAGCATGAATTAGGCAGTTATTGTAAGAATCAAGGAGTGAAGCCTGGCATTGTGGCCCACACCTTTGAACACACCACTCAGGAGGCAGAGACAGGTGAATCTCTGAGTTTGAGGCCACCGTGGACTATGTAGCAAGTTCCAGGCCAGTCAGACTTACATAGTGAGAACTTGTCTCAAAAACAAACAAGCAAACAAACAAAAAGGCATTCATGAGTGAGAAAATAAAGATTTGGGGCTGGAGAGATGGCTCAGTGGTTAAAAGCACTGACTGCTCTTCCAGAGGACCCAAGTTCACAAATATATGTAACTCCAAGATCTGATACCCTCACATAGACATACATACAGGCAAAACACCAATGCACATAAAATATAAAAAAATAAGTTAAAAAAAAGACTTAGCTAAAATGAAGAGTTGGAAGTAGAGACTAATTACAAAGCAGGAGCTATGATTAAAATAATGAAGAGAATCTATGGGATCAGGCATGAGGGGGTGAAAGAGGGGTATCAGAGGTGAGTCAGACTTTGACCTTCACGACTGACCTAAAGAAAAGGATTCAGGGGGCTGAAAAGATACATCAGAGGCTAAGAGTGCTCACTGCTCTTGCAGATGACCAGAGTTCGATTCCCAGCACCCATGTCAGGAAACTCACAAACACCTGTAACTCCAGCTCCCAGGGTTCCCTCTTTTTGTCTCCTGCATAAGTGCATACATACATTTAAATATCTTTATTTAAGATATTTAAGACATCTTAAATTTCTTCTTAAAAAAAAAAAAGAGAGGATATTGCCTTGCCAGGTGTGGCAGTGAACATCTCTAATCTCAGCAATCGGGAGGTGGAGGCAGGAGGATCAGAAGTAAAATGTCGTCTTTGGCTACATTCCAGGCCAGCTTGGGATGCATGAGACTCTGTGTCAAATTAAAAAGACAGAAAGAAAGAAAGAAAGAAAGAAAGAAAGAAAGAAAGAAAGAAATGTGTAACATGAGGTAACAATGGGACAAGTTACGATATCCCATAGAGAATCAACAATGGGGAAGGGAGAGGGGAGAAACATCATTTGGGGATTATTTCCACCCTCAACCACAATATGTGTCTATAGGAAGTATAAAAGTTTATTGAGAAAAATGTTTAAAAGTATATTGAAAAGAAGATAGTTGAGGTTTGGCTTTAGGGAAATGACCACCTTTAAGTAATGAGAGACAGCCCGGTGGTGGCAGCACACTCCTTTAATCCCAGCAGTTGAGAGGAAGAGGCAGGTGGATCTCTGAGTTCACTGCCAGCATGGTCTACAAAGTGAATTCCAGGACAGTCAGCCCTATAAAAAGAAACCCTGTCTCAAAAAACAAAAAAATAACACATGCAGAGAGAGTGCAAGAGCCAGGTGTGGTGGAACATACCTGAACATACCTGTAAACACAACTCTGGGAAAGCTGAGGCAGGGGGGTGGAGAGTTTAAGGCCAATCTGGCCACCTAGTAGGACCTCATGGAAAAACAAATTAGACTATAGATATGGCCCACATATATAATCTCAGTACTCCGTAGGATTATAGCTTGAGCGCTCGGATTAAAGGGTGCTCAGCTAACATTACCCCACACACACACACACACACAGGGTTTCTCTGTGTCCTGAGACAGGGACAGCTCTGACTGTCCTAGAACTTGCTCTGTAGACCAGGCTAGCCTGGAACTCACAGAAATCTGCCTGCTTCTGCCTTCGAATGCTGGGATTCAAGACTTCTGCCACCAACACCAGCTAACATTACTTTTAAACAGAAATAAACTGAGCTATGGAGAAAGGGAGAGAGGTAAGAAGATAGAGGTGTACTGTAGGAATTCAGAAGAGAGGCAAGAGCATGGTAAAGTGTTGGTCTTAGAAAGGAAGAATGATACTTTTGAGTCCAAAAGGAAGAGAAAGGAAAAGTGGAGAGGAACTTTCGAAGCATGAATTAAACACTGTGACAAAGAAAGAGTAAGGGATTCTAATAATCACTCTGCAGGGAGCAGAAGGATAGACACAGGTGGACTAGCTTGATGAATGAGGATGACAAGGAATCAATGAAAATAGCCTAGCTTCCCCTCATTCTTTAAATGTGCCTTTCTGAGCAGTCAAACGTCAGCCTTCCTTTCAATACACCTTTGGTTTGGCACTCTCATCCCTCAGACGCGTTCATATTGCATTTCAGATCAGAAGACTCCCAACTTTCTATCTCTAGATTCAACAAGGCTCCCGAGAGCCCAGTAGTAAGATTACTAAGGGAGCCTGGGACTCAGTAAATACCTTCTGGTCATTTTTCTCCTTCAGCAATTTTCCATAGCTCAGGAGTGGGGATAGTTTGGGGAGAATGGAACAAGAATTCTGGTTTGGGAACTTACCAGTAGTTTAGGCAGGCAAAAGGACAGACCTGAGTAGTGTACGTTGGGTTATGAGTCAGATAAAGCCAACAGGGATTCCAAGTCGGGACTCTAGAAAGGCAAGAAGTGAGAACTAAACGTTGGTTTTGAATCCCCGAAGAGAGCAAAGTCGTTTATAGTTTTGTAACCCACAGAATATGCCCCCAAGGTTCTACAGGAAACGAAGGAGTGAAGTCAGCCTGAGTGGGAATACAAGAGACTGTGGAGCTTCGAGCTTAAATGGGATGGTAATTGATACGAATGTAAAGAAGCCTCCAGATGTGGGTTCTACTTGGCGTTCTGCTAACTGCGCAGTTCGCAGAAGTTACTTCTTTTTCCTGGACTTAAACCAAAAGACTTCCAGGGACCCTCTGTTCTGCATGATGAAATTTCTCAGAGCAGAGTCAGATGGGCTGGTGGCAAGGACCGCTCCCAACCCGCTGCGGGCCTGGGGCTCTAGAGTCCGGAACCTTTCTGCTGTGCTGTCTGCCCGGACATGCTGAGGCGGAAACAGGAAGCCCCTTGTCGGTTCCGGGTTTTCTGTGCTACTACGATGGCGATGAGTTTCGAGTGGCCGTGGCAGTACCGCTTTCCGCCCTTCTTTACGTGAGGCTCCGACCCCGAGAAACCCCGTGTACCTCCCTCCCCTCCCCGGGGTCCGGGGCTCAGCCATGATGATTCACCTGGGGTTCCGGGGAAGACAGCCGCCGGCCGCCTTCCGTCCAGCCAGCCCCTCACTTCCCCCTAATGGTGCTGCTTTTGCCTTCTCACGCTCTAATTTCTGCATGGCACTCCCTTCGCCCGGCAGGTTACAGCCGAACGTGGACACTCGGCAGAAGCAGCTGGCCGCCTGGTGCTCTCTGGTTCTGTCCTTCTGCCGCCTGCACAAACAGTCCAGCATGACGGTGATGGAAGCCCAGGAGAGCCCGCTCTTCAACAACGCCAAGCTACAGCGTATCCTCCCTCAGGCTCTCCCATAGCCCACGCGCGCGCTCCCACACTTCTCTGCATGTCCAGACTGCGTCTTCCCGCCTCCTTTTACCCACAGTAGGCAGGTTTCTACTCAGACTGGACTTGGGAAAAGGCTAAGATACATGGCAGACAGTCATTTTACACGCCCCCTCCCAGGCAGTGCCGGCCCCCTTACCCTAGCATTAATAAGTGCCGGTGGTCTTACAATCTGGGCTTTTAAGTCAAGTCCCAAGCTTTACAACCTGGACCCTTTTAAACTATTTGAATCTCCTCTCTGTGAGGCTCAAACCCCTAAACCACCTTTAATAATTTTCTATACTTAAAACAATCTCTCCCAGGAAGTGAGGGTCATTTATTTTTGCTGGCTGATTCATAGGTAAAATATGTGGAGAAAAGGACAGAGAATGAGGGCAATGGCAACACCCTTTATTTTCTAAAACTCTTGCCTTTTGGGGGGGGGAACTGAATTTCTATAACCCAGCCCATCCTTAGTTGGTGATTCTCCTGTGTCCATCTCTTAAGAGCTGGTATTACAGGCCTGTGCCACCACACTCTGATAGTTCTTAGAAGTTTCTTTTTACCTTCCTTTCCAGAATATTCAGAATATACATCTTCAAAAATTGCTTATATGTGTGGCAGGGAAAGGGACTAGATGACACTCATCATGGGCCTCTGCTGTGAAAAATTTTTATTTAATGGAATTCACACATAGGCCATCCCCTTAACCTTAAACCAGGAAAACTTCCTGTGGAGTCGATCCAGATTGTATTAGAAGAGCTAAGGAAGAAAGGTGGGTTCAGTTCCTCAGATGCTACTTCTTCTTCTTACTCAGGTTTTCCTGAGGGCAGAGCAGGATGTCTCTTTTCCTTTTAATGCCTTTTTCTTCCTCTCCTTCAGCCTGAAACCCCAAGTATTCTGAAATGGCCCACTTCTTTTCCCCCATTAGTATACAAAATTACAATCTCTCTGCTATCTAAACCCTAAGAGAGATGGATTAAGGAGAATAGGATGCTTTATACATCAGAATAGTAAAACAAATATTGACTCTCTTACTCTGAAAGCAAGTCTCTTCCACTCTGCCCCGTATTGGTGCTTGCCTCTCTGTCCCTTTTTTTAGAGCATGATGCTTTCATTAAGTATCTGTTTTACAGGGAACCTCGAGTGGTTGGATAAGAATAAGTCTAGCTTCCTGATCATGTGGCGGAGGCCAGAAGAATGGGGGAAACTCATTTATCAATGGGTGAGGCCACCCTGCTAAGCACTAAGCAATGACCCATGGCAAAGAAGAATTGTTGCCTGTGCCCTGCCGATAGCTGGCATTTTTAGATCCAAACTTGGCAGAGTGGGGAGTGGGCAAAAAACGGAAGCACGGACCTTCCTGGCAACCATTCTTCATTGACTCAATGTCTCTCCTGCACAGAATCTCCCTTTCTTTGCCTGTAGGAGGCCAGAGGCTACGTGAGGCCATGTTTGGAGAATGTAGTACTGGGAACCATGATTGCTATTGTTGGCTGGAGCCTCTGGCCACGGGAGATAAATGGGGAAAGGAAGGGAGGGAAAAAACCCTGGGTTCCCTCTCCCACTGAGCCTGCATGGCGTTGTTCACATGAATGAGACCTTCTGAACCAGTGTGGGTGTGAGGACAGAGGACTCTGTTCCTCAAATTCCTGGTTACCACTAGCCCCAAACATTCCCAAGGGAGAAGGGGGGCGGGGAAAGCGTCAACAACCTAAATATAACAAACACACACCACCCATCCTTGAACAGAAAACAACCAGGGTGAGAGGTCACTTTTGAGACACGTGGACGGCTGTGGCTTGGTGGTTCCAAATGTGTGTACACACATACAAATATAGCACCTGTAGGGTTTATGAGTTTAGGACACTGCAGAGGGTGACAGCCCTGATTTGGGAACACATACCATTCTTGGAGAAAAAGGTAGAGGTGAAGTTTACCTTCTCCCAGGACATTGGTCTGGTCCTTACTCAGCCCTCCTTGTTTGTGCCCGAAGGTTTCCAGGAGCGGCCAGAACAACTCTGTGTTCACCCTGTATGAACTGACGAGTGGGGAAGACACGGAGGATGAAGGTAATTCCTTTTTCTTCTCCCAGTTCTCCAATCAGAATCCTCTTGTCTCCAGTATTGATTTAATACATCTTTGGACTACTTCTGTGTCTCTGAATTCCATAATGCAAAGTTCTGAGGGGTTTTTGTTTTGTTTTAAAGATTTATTTTTAGCTGGGTGGTGATGGCTCATGCCTTTAACCCCAGCACTTGGGAAGCAGAGGCAGGTGTATATCTCTGAGTTCTAGGACAACCTGGTCTATAAAGTGAGTTCCAGGAAAGGCTCCAAAGCTACAAAGAAATCCTGTCTTGAAAAACAAAAACAGTTACTACAGAAAAAAAAAGCAAAGAAAAAAGATTTATTTTTATGTTATGCACGTGAGTGTTTGCCTGAATGTATATATATATATGTACCACACATACATGGCTGGTGCCCATGGAGGTAAGAAGAATACATTGTATGGATCCCCTAGAACTGTTGTGAGTTGTCATGTAGGTGCTGGGAACCAAACCCATTACCTCCACAAGAGCAGTAAGTATTCATAACCACTAAGCCATTTCTCCAACACAGTTCAAAACATTTATTTATTTATTTTGGAGACAGGGTTTCTCTGTATTGTTTTGGAGGTTGTCCTGGAACTTGCTCTGTAGACCAGGCTGGCCTTGAACTCACAGAGATCCGCCTGCTTATGCCTCTCAAGTGCTGGGGTTAAAGGCATGCGCCACCAACACACGGCAGTTCAAAACTTCTTAACTCTCATATAAACATTCTATACCACTTGGACTCACAAAACAAAGTAACTCTTTGTTGGTGTGGATGTTTGTGTATTTTGAAAAGATTTTTCAGGGTTATGTTAAGAATGGTTGCTGTAGAAGCCAGTTGAGGAACCAGTGTGGGGGATTAAACTTGGAATCTCATTCCTTGCTGACTCAAGCTCTCTTTCACCCTTTCTTCTTATAGAAGAAGGCTCAAGATTTGTGGGTGTCAGCTGAAGGGATTGTGCCAACACCCCCAGCCCCACCCCCTGCCCATTTAAAAACGTTGGGTTTGTGCCAGACAAGGATTTGTATGGCCTTTGATTTTTACATAGGGTAAACACTTTTTTTTTCCTGTGACTCTATTCTGATCCCCAGGATCACCAAAAGTTTTGGTCTTTGCCAGGGTAAGGGGGTGGGGGTTCTGCCAGGCTATGACTGCTCCCTCAGACTTGACACCACTTGGCCGTCTCCCCCTTCCCTGCAGGCCTCTGCTTGCTGTTCCCACCATCACCCCATGAGTTCAGCACTGCAGCCTGGCCCAGCCCACCACTCAGCCTGTACAAAGCTGGAGGCTTCCCCAGAATGCTCACTCCTTGACTTGAGCTGGGCTCCCTCAGTGGGTGAGGTGAGCAAGCCTGTCAGGGCTTGTCTGCTGCCTCTTGAGTCTCTACAGTATCTTCCCATATTTCTGGAAACTCCACTGTCCCTTGGCTCACGTTCAACTGGAAAGGGCAGATGTTGGCTATGAACTTTAGTAGTCTCCTGGCTAGAGGGTGCCAACTGTACTTTCATGTATTAAGGCAGATCCTCCTGGTTTGTACAGACGTTTGGATGGGTTCACTGTCCAGTACAGGGGCCCTGGCCTAGGTCAGACTATCAGGGTTACTTTGTGGTCCTTAAGGCAAAGATGTCCATGTTAAGTTAGATATTTGATGACAGCAACGGGAAAGGGGGCTGTGGTATAGAACTGAGAAGGATGAAATAAGCCTCTCCGTTTCATGCTGACCCAGGCTGCTTTCCACTCCCACGGAGTGCCCAGGAAGTGAGTGACAGCTGCAGCAGTCCTCATGGCATACAAATAGAATATTCTGGCTTCGGAAGTTCTCAGCTTTTGGCTCAATGACGGAAAGAGCTGAGTGTCCTGACTGACCATCTCTTCCTATCTAGAGTTCCATGGGCTGGATGAGGCGACCCTACTACGTGCTCTGCAGGCCCTACAGCAGGAGCACAAGGCTGAGATTATCACTGTCGGTGATGGCCGAGGAGTCAAGTTCTTCTAGCAGAGACCTGTCTCCCTCTGCTTCTTACCTCCCACCTTTCCAGGGCTTTCAGAAGGAGACAGACCAAGTGTTCCACAGACTGGATCAGTCACTCACCAGACTCAAAGGGCTCAAGTCCTGAAAGCTTGGACTTAGGGATGTTTCCCACTTAATCCATTCTACCTGTCCCTGGGATCCTGTGAGTCCATGGTGCCAGGAAGAAAGGATGCGTTTCTTGCCCTACCTCCTTCCCCATCCCAGACTGTCCCTGGGCCAGGGTCTATAAACCTGACACTTCACATGTGTTCTCACACCTAAGTACACACCCACATGCGCCTGCACAAGCTTCTGTCTCCTCCCCCCCTCCCACTCCGTTAGCTGCTGCCGCCTCCCCTCTCAGGCTGGTGCTGCATCCCTCCTAGGGGATGGGGAAACCCTGGCTGCAGGCAGCCTTCCAGGCAGTATGGCGATAGGAAGCCCCAGAAGGGGCCTGGCCGTGAAAAGCAGGCCCACTCTGACTTAGGATATTAAAATCTCTACTCCCACTGTGAGCCTGTTACTAGTGCTGGAATAGGGCTGTGGAAGGCGGGGCAGCGTTCCACCTGACTGAGTCCCAGCCAAGGAAAGAGAAGAGTTGGTTGGCCTTTGAACAAGAGAAGGGCCTCTGGGCCTGGGGGTCTCCAGTGGGCCTGTAGTTTCCCTTGTGCTGGCTGGGTCGTGTGGAGGAGTGCTGTTGGAACCCAGCTTGGGGACAGACTGCGATTGCTCTTTAAACTGGAGCCACTTAATTGCTCCCCCATGGAAGTCCTGAACTATTCTGAAGCCCCTCCCTCCACCCATCTGGGTGGGGTAGTTGTGGCCAAGGGGAGCTGGGGGGGTAAACCGGATGTGGACTTTGGTTTATTGAAGACTTTGGCAAACAGAAGGGGAGGAAGGAGAGCCCACAGCGAAAACAGCCCTTCTGGCCAGGGCAAGACTCAGGCCACGATGGGGTGGGGCTGACGGGTGACCAGCTCTCGTGGCAGTGGGGGGTTGTCCTGGAATGCACACACCCATCCTTGTACAGACCAGGGGTCTAGCTGAGTCAGGGAAATCTTACCTTTCCAACACCGATGTTAGGCATGGGGCTACTCCTGATTAGGACCGGGTAGTGCTGCCTTATCGGGGATGTGCAGGCTGGTGGTGCCCCTCCCCAGCCACCCTCCTCCCCACTGAGCCATGGGAGCCATGGTCACTTTTCATCCCGTTCCAGTGTCCTCCAACTCCCCCACCCCAAACATGTTTGCGCTCTCCTAGTGCGGGAGCACACCAGCCGCTACCTCCCACTCACGCTGCTCTTGCCCGGGAGAAGGCTTGAAGGCGGGGACTCTGGAGAGCAGGGCAACCGGTCGGGGGCTAAGCGGCAGGCAGCTGAGGTGAGGGCAGCACCTCAGGTCCACGCGGTGCAACAGGCCAGGCTAACAGGGGGATGGTTCTGGGGGGGTGAGGATCGGACTCGGCTGGGGGCGGGTCGTGGGGCGGAGCTGGGGGCGGGTCGCCAGAACGGCCAGCCAGGGGCTGGGGCCCCTGCAGCTCAGCCGGAGCGTTGCGCACCCAGCCGGTCTGCTTGCTGTCAGGCCGCCGCCTTCAGTCGCCTGGCTTTCCGCCCTGCGGCGACCGGCCCTTACCCATGCTAGCACCTCGTACTACGGAGACCGGTGTCCCCATGTCCCAAACTGAGGCAGACTTGGCCCTGCGGCCACCGCCATCTCTCACCTCCTCGGGGCCGACCCGCTTGGGGCCACCTCCTCGCCGTGTGCGCCGCTTCTCTGGGAAGGCTGAGCCCCGGCCACGCTCTTCGCGACCGAGCCGCCGCAGCTCAGTCGATTTGGGACTGCTGAGCTCCTGGTCTCAACCAACCTCACTCCTTCCGGAACCCCCCGATCCTCCGGACTCCGCTGACCCCACGAGGAGCCCACCTCCCAGCTCCAAAGAAACCCCCGAGGGCACATGGACCGGGGCAGCCCCGGTGAAGGCTGCAGACTCGGCAAGTCCTGAGCTTACGAGACCTTCAGGAGGTCCCGGATCCCGGGAGCCACCGAAGCTTGATGCTGCAGCCCGGGAGCGGAGGCGGGAGCAGGAAGAGAAGGAGGACACAGAGACCCAGGCTGTGGCAACTTCTCCGGACGGCCGATACCTCAAGTTTGACATTGAGATTGGAAGAGGCTCCTTCAAGACCGTGTATCGAGGGCTAGACACCGACACCACGGTAGAGGTGGCCTGGTGTGAGCTACAGGTGTGGCTGGGCGCCCCCTTGTAGTACCTCGGGATGGGTACTAGTACCCCTAGTAGGTTGGGAAAACGGGAGGATAACATCAAGGGAAGGATTTTTTTTCCACGTCAGATGTCCAGGCACCCTTGCTTTCCTTGCCGGCATGATCTCATTGATTCTGGGTGCGTTCAGGAGAAACTGAGGCAGATGATTTATGGTAACTCCCAATGAGCCAATGCGCATGGATAGCTTCACTTTCAAGCCTCCATATAAATTTGAGGGTTGGGAAATTGAGTGGGTTGGGGGTAGCCCCTCCAGTCTCCTGCCCTGGGCACCATTGCCCCTTCCTCTCATTTCCCTCTAAGTCCTGAGACTTTCGGCTTTGAATCTGGTCCTCTTGCTTCTTCCTCCTTCTTTACAAACTTAGAGACTGGGATGTGGGAGACCCAGAGCTGAGGCCAAGGCCTTATCCACCTCCAAAAAGATTTATGTTAGTTGTGGCATTAGGGGGCTCCCCAGGTCCCTTCTGAAGCAGCTAGCCTTACAGACGTATCAACAGCTTCAAAGAGCAGGGACAGGAAGCTCTAGTTCAAGCAGCCCCCTGCATACCTGGGTTCTCCTCTTCCATTGCCAAAGGAGCTAAGCTATTGCTAGTCTTGGACTTCAGAAAGCTACAGATTGGCATTTTCTTCCTCGCGTTGCTCCCGCTCTTAAGTGTGAGTGGTCCCGGAAACTAAGATCCAGATTAGGGGGGTAAAACCAGAAGGAAGGGTCCTTCCACTTTGGCCCTGGCACAGGAGGACTCTCCCCTAGTGCCTACTAGTGCCTCGCCCCAGGCTCCAAACCAGGCCAGGAGAATCAGCCAGACTCAGGGGAGGGGGAGGGAGAGGGAGAAAGGAGGGGCGGGGCAGCCCCAGCCATGGGGGGCGGTCTCCTGGCCCCGATCCTGGACCTTTTCTTTCTTAGTATCTTCCTCTACCTCGGTCTAGATCCTGCAGTTCGTAGTTTTTAGGGCCAACCTCTTGCCGGCCCCAATTCCCGGCCCGTGGTCCGTTTGCTGCCTGCCGGCTGCCAGCCCTAGGGCACAGCCCCCCCCCCCCCCACTTCCACGGTCTGCTCTAGAGGCCACAAAGGCGCTATTGAGTGCACAGCTCCCAGACCTGGCTGCATAAAGACGCTTGTGTCCAGCGGGGTCCGGAGTGCTGCCCCAGGCCCAGGATGGGCGTGTTCTTGGAGCAATAAGAAGGGACCAACCAAAACTTGGGGGTCTGTAGCCCTTCTGGCTAACAATCTCATCACCACACCCCGGCCATATGCTCCTGTCTTCCTTTCCCCCCAGCTCTACCCCAGAGGTCCCGTGCTCTTCTTCCTGGGGGGTCTGGGTCTGACGTGACCCCCGTCGTCCCATCCCACAGACTCGGAAACTGTCTCGAGCAGAACGGCAGCGATTCTCCGAGGAAGTTGAAATGCTCAAGGGGCTGCAGCACCCCAACATCGTCCGCTTCTATGACTCGTGGAAGTCGGTGCTGAGGGGCCAGGTTTGCATCGTGCTGGTCACTGAACTCATGACCTCGGGCACGCTCAAGACGTGAGCTCTGGCCTGGGTGGGAGGGGAAGGATGGGCTGTCATTCCGGGAACTTCGAATCACTTCAGACTTCCACAGCTAAAGCCAGGCTATCTCCCTGACCTGTGTGAATGACAATGTCCATCCAGCACACCAGTCAAACATTTCCTTGTCTTTGTTGTGCCCTCACTCTCAACAGCGGAGTCTCTGAAGCCTTTAACATCTTCCTGCTCACCTTCCCCCTACCTTGCTGCCACACCACTGATGCCCCCCCCCAGTCTGCCTTTCCCAGTCTGCCCACCCCTCAGATTATCCCATCTTCTGCCACCTAAAGGAAATCTGACCCCTTGACTCTCTCCTTAAACCTCTTCAGGATTCCCACTGCCCCGGGGGTAAAGTCTGTAAGATACACACTCTCCTCTCTGGCTTAAATTACAGACAAACCCAGTTCTCAGTGACTCCTCCCACCCTACCCTGCCACTCCTGTGGTCCTTCACTCTGGAAAATCTCCATCCCTTCACGTCTTCACCCTTGAACTTATCCTCCCCATTCAAGACAAAAGTTAGTTCCTCAGTGAAGTCCTCCCCCACGCATGGGACAGTTAGTCATTCCTTCCGGCGCTCCCACAGCACCTTTGGCGGCGGCCCTATCTAGAATTTAACACTAGAATCATTTTGTAACCTATTTACTGTACTCATTGACTCGATTTCTTTTTGGCCCAGACCGACCTTCATTAAAAGAATGCCGGCAGGGGACACAGAGGTGGTGGCGAGGGTGGGATGAGAGGGAATTTTCCAGTCTTGGAATAGTTATCCCCACCGCGCGACCATGGTTATGCGCCCTCTCCCAGGTACCTGAGGCGGTTCCGCGAAATGAAACCCCGAGTCCTTCAGCGCTGGAGTCGCCAAATCTTGCGGGGACTTCATTTCCTACATTCCCGAGTGCCCCCCATCCTACACCGAGATCTCAAGTGTGACAACGTCTTCATTACCGGCCCTTCAGGCTCTGTCAAAATCGGAGATCTCGGACTGGCCACACTCAAGCGCGCCTCCTTTGCCAAGAGCGTCATTGGTGCGTCTCTCCAGCGGGGCCCTTGCCATTGCTCCCTCCCTTAAGTCGGTAAAGGGAGTGGGACCCCCTAGGCTCCAGCAGGGCTTTGGAGAGCTACTGAAGTAGGGCGACCCCATTCTTCCTGCCCCCAACACACACTTTGGGCAAGAGTTGGTCACCGAAACTCCAGGGGTTGCCCTGGGGCTACTTAGCCTATGATACACCCAAGTGGAGGGAGGAGATCAAGAGGAAGAAGTCTGATTCTTTCTGTGGGTCCAATAGGGACCCCGGAATTCATGGCCCCCGAGATGTATGAGGAAAAGTACGATGAGGCGGTGGACGTGTACGCCTTTGGCATGTGCATGCTGGAGATGGCTACATCTGAGTATCCCTACTCTGAGTGTCAGAATGCAGCACAAATCTACCGCAAGGTCACTTCGGTGAGAAGGGTGGGGTTCGGGAAAGAAGGGATCCCCAGAGCCCGCCCACTCCCCTGCCAGTTCCCTTTATCTGAATAAAAAACCAGGCCCGACAGAAAGATGCCCCAGTGAAGCGGAAGTAATATTGTATGTGCATAAGCCCCTCACACAAGCTAGTAAGAGTATGTGTAATCCTAAGAGTTTACAGACAATGGCACATCTAGTCTCAGTAGATCTTTCTAGTTTGCTCTGCGCTTTAC